GGAAATATTTTCTCTCTCGATCTGGTTGGTGGCCACATGGGTAAGTCATTTGTCAACATTTTATGGAGCTGCCAGCTAAAAAGTCCTGCATTTTACTGTATGTTTGTGACAGCTCAATAAAGAGCTTTTGCATATGCACACACACCACACACACACACACATACACACCCCACATCCCCAATCCTGGGTGACGGATTGTGATCCAACATTTTCACACCCTTCAAATTGCCTTTCCTGGGTTAAGGCACCAGAAATACCCTCTCAGATGTGCAAAGAATTAGAAAGTTTGCCACTTAGGTGTCCTCAAAAGAAAAAAAATGTACTCAACTATAAGCCTCAGTTGGCCAAATGATAAATCGAAATAAATAAAGCAAGACCAGGAAGATGCTGGTTTTATACAGAGCGACAAAACCAGGAGAACAACAAGATAAATCTGTATATTTTTCGTCAGAGGTTGTTAACAACGCAAACATAAAAATAATTATCTAAAGCAAGATCTATTCAATAAAACTGTTTTATAACAGTAATAATTTGAATCTAAGCCCCTAGAATACAGTGACAGAAACAGGAGAAAGGAGGAAAGAAATAAAATCTTAAAGAAATAAACAGATATAGGAAAAAAGATGAATGGACAAGGAGGGTCATCGAGTTATCGACGAGAGGAAACAGTATGAACGTTTAACCATGGAAGACGGGGGGGTAAACTATTGTTCGGTTCGTAAAGTTATGGCCTCTTTCTCACTGCGAGTCTTCTATTTATGGGGAGGAAACCTCAGGGGAGTTCCTTCACCTCTCTGGGCCTCGGATTCTTCATCGGTGAGATAGGATCATTCATTCATTCATTCATTCAACAAATGCTTTCTGAGCACCTACTAAGTGCCAGGCGCTGTACTAGGTCCCAGGGACACAGAATGAACGCACCAGGTCCTGCACTCATGAAGCTGACGTTCTAGTGGGTCAGGGGTAATGGTGCTGCGGAGAAAACCAGAACAGGGAGGAGAGATGGAGGGGGACAGGGATGCTGAGTGGTCACAAGAAAGGCCTCTGTGATGAGGAATTATTTCATCAGAGACCTGATGGAGTTGAGGGAATGAGACGTGTGGCTGCCTGGGGGAAGAGGTTTCCAGGCAGAGGGAACAGCTGGTGCAAAGGCCCTGAGGCATAAGCGTGCTTGGTGTGCTGGAGAAAGAGCAGGGTGGCTGCAGTGGAGCCAGTGAGAGGGAAGGGTGATGGGAGAAGAGAGCCCAGAGGTAATGGGTGTGGGGGAAAGGCCTGGTGGATCATGGTGAGTACTTGCGACCTCATTCAGAGGCTGCTGGGGAGTCACTGGAAGGCCTTGAGCAGGGGAGCGATGCCATCTGACTCAGGTTTCATAGACTCCCTCCATGCGGGAGCGTAAACGTAGGGTCGCTGTAAGGATGTGATGGATATGACGGACTGCTGGGGGCTTGTGGGGCACACAGAGCTGGGCACACAGCCATCGCTTGGCAACATCCTCTAAACGCTACTGGCCCTGTACGTGGAGAAAGCAGGGTTCTCGTTGTTGTAAGGGAGGGGAAAGAGGAGGCGCCTTAGACATCCGTTAAGTCGCTTGTTTCTCTGGCTGTGCTCCTTCCAGAGGGCTCTGGCTCTGCGGGGACTGTGGACATGGCATGCCTTGCTCCGTGGCTGTGGCTTCTGCCAAGCTCTGTGCAACTCCCCTGGTAGAAACGGAATCCTGCCCTCCGCGGGGACTGAGGGTCACTGCCAGTTCTCCCTAACATAGTGTCCGGTGACCTTTCCACAGGCAGAGGATGATGAGCTTGCTCCCAAGTCCCCTGCGCTTCCCCGCCCGGCCAGGAAAGGTCTTGGGGCCCCTGGAGCGCTGGCCAGCTGGGGCCCCTCCCCAGGGGCTTAGTAAAAGGATGATGCTTCTGTAAGGAAACCTTTCCCTGGATTCTTCTCAAGCCCTGCCCTCTTCTCCAGCGCAGACTTCTTTAACTGAGACCTTCTTTCCCTCTTGTCCCTGGGGATGGGCGCCGGGGGTGCCCGGAAGTGCCCCCTTCACTCATTCCCTCACTCATTAATCTCTTCACTCAGTGTCACGTAGCGTGCATACTCAACAGGATCCATTCCTGCAGCGGGAGCAACACAGCACAACGGGTAAGACCAGGAACTCCAGACTTAGCCTGTTGAATCCTGGCTCTGCTGTTTATTATCTGTGTGATCTTGGGGAAGTCTCTTCACTTCTCTGTGACTCAGTTTCCTCTTCTGTAAAAAGATCCTGAGAGTCCCCACCTCATAGAGCTGATGTGAGGATTCGGGCACATAAAATGCTCAGCCCGTGCTTGGCATATGGTGAGAAGCCAAAATGGCAATGGCCATAATAATAGTAATATAATAATAATAATAACATATATCTTCCTCCTTTGCACATTTCTGTCCGCACGGCCCTGCATTCTGCCCACAGGCCTAGACTGTGATGGAGCCGGCAGAGTGGAAGGGCACAGTGCGGCTGAGACAATGTGAGTTTCAGAGCCAGACAGGCCCCCTCTGAGTCCTGACTCTGCCACCTCCTAGTTGTGTGACTTGGGCCGACCCTTTCCCCTCTGGGTCACAGTCTCCTGATCTGCAAAATGGGGATTATGATAATGGTAGCTGCTGGGTAGGGGGTTGGAGGATTAAGCAAGACCCTTCCACACTGCCCTGCACCTCCTAGATGGGGCCCGGTGCCCGGCACAGAGGGCAACAGTGAACAGGACAGGAATGGTCCCTGACCATGAGCAGGGGACACTGGCACAAAGGCAGCACTCAATAACTAGGATCAATCCATCATAATAACTAAATAACAGTGTTTGTTCTCTCTCCTCTGCCCCAAACCACCCAAAGACCCATTATCCCAGCTGGGATAACCATGCTCTTCTTTTAATGCCTCTGGCCTCAGTTTTCCCAGGCTTGTGGAATGCTTGCTGGCTGATGTCTGGGGTCCCTTGCAGGAGGACCACCACGCACCGAGCCGGCCTGATCCTCTTCCACAGACCTGGCCCACCCCGGGAGGACACAGCTCTTTCCTGCTCTCTCAGGACCTGTGGCCTATGGGACGTCTCAGAGCGTGCAGGCTGTGTTTATTAAATAAGTGCAAGCTTTCGGCAGGGAGCGGGGTTAATTGGGAGCAGTTCAGGCCAAGGAATCTCAAGGTTTGCTCTTAGACCACATAAGAAAATCATAAAAGAGACCCTTGGCCAATGCTTAATATTTGAACTTGAGTGAAAAAGGTCCCGAGAGTTCCTGGCAAAGCGACTTTGCTTTTCCTGCGAAAATAGGCAGGAGGATTGATGGAGCGTCACTGGGGGCTTGTCAGGCTTGGCTACTGATGAATTACAGAAGACTCAGCTCAGGGCAAGGGACGCATGTACCAAGCGTGAGCAGCCGGGCCTCCTTCTGTTTCAAGGACAGATAATAAAATAATAGCCCCCCTCCCTCCGCTTTCTTATTTGATCTTTAGGACAACCAGTGAGGCAGGCAGAATGAGTATATTTTGCCTATACCATAAGTAAGGAAACTGAGGCTCCGAGAAGGTAAGTCACCGCCCACGGCCACACAGCTAAGGAATTGACAGCTTCGTGGAGCCCGATTAAGTGCTGGTGCCACCAACTATGAAGACGCTACGTGAATAGCTGACCCCAGCCTGGAAGGAAAGGGCCATTGTGGTATATTGCATGGCAATAACATTTCGAGTGGAATCAAGTTCCCCATTCCTTGGATCTGGGCTGGTCATGTGACTTGCTTTGACCGACAGAACACAGCAGAAGTGACATTTCCAAGTATAGGCTTCAAGAGTCCTTATTCCTCCTCTAATGCACTTAAAATCCTGCCACTGCCACGTGTGCAAGCTTCGACCAGTCTGCTAGAGGCCGAGAGACCAGGTGGAGCAGAGACGAGCCATCCCAGCTAAGGGCCTTCTAGGTCAGCCAGTCCCCGGCTGACCTGGTAGCTGACCACAGATCCAGACTTGTAACTTGCAGAATTGTGAACCAAAACAGTGACTTCAAATTACAGGCATTTCCTTTTGGCGTGGATTGTCACACAGCCAAAGCTTCCTGATACATCACGAGGAGAGACAGTTGCAAAGAGCCGTCATTGACCCGATGTCTCTCAGACTTGGAGCATGCACAGAGATAGGACCTTACTCCTCCATGGAGCCAGAGCCTTGATACTTTCTGCCTCCTGGTCAGTCCTCTTGGGGACTTCCAAAGTTGGGACCACAGATGCCTCTCGCACAGTGAACACCTGTAGCTGCTTCCTGTCTGCAGAAACCATTTGATAAATCACTAGACAGCTGACTAATCTAGCACAGTGTGTAAGATCATGGGTTTTGGAGACAGACAGACAAGTCCAGGATCAGCTCTGATGCTCAATGCCCCCTCTCTCTCTCCTATCCTCATTTTCTTCACCTGCAAAATGGGGAAATCCTCATAGGATTGCTGTGAGGCAGAAATTACCTAATAAGATGAGCTTCTGGCTACAGGCCCAGCACAGAGTAAACATCAGCATGTTAGGTCTCCTCATTGGTGGGCCTCTCACTCATTGCTGGCTCTTACAGCAGGCCACGGAGCATCTTGACTGCTCTCTCGTATTGACAAGGGGAGGACGTGACATGCTCATACTGTAACCAAATGTTAGCAGAAGTAGAGAAATGCGTAGCCCAGGCTTTCCCAACCTCAGCACTAGTGACATTTGGGACTAGATAATTCTTGGTGGTGGTGGTGGTGCCGGGGGCTGTCCTGTGCATTGTAGGATGTTTAGCTCCATCTACCAGGTGCCAGAAGCACCCTCAACCCCAGTTGTGACAGCCAAAAATGTCTCCAGACATTACCAAATGTCCCTCGGGGGACAAAATTGTCTCCAGTTGAAAACCACTGACATAGCTGCCCTCTGATGCCCAAGAAACAGGGCAGGACTTGCTCCACCACGGAGGGTGGCAGAAGGTGGAGGGAGGCAGCTAAAAATAACGGTTGCCCAATCGAGGGTCATAAATCACTGAAAGGGAGCTCTCACACCCTGAGGATGCCATCTGCTTCCAAGTCGGAGGTGGAGGTGCGAGCGAGCGAGCGGGCCTGGAGGGGAAGGCAGAGCAGGAGGAGAGACGGTAAGAGCGAGGAAGAAGGGGATGAGGTTGGGAGGCAGGGGATTTGGAAGGCCGAGACAAAAGAGATCGTGTCTTGGGTTGGGTCCCCCAGAAGCAGACCCCGAGATGAGGATTTGTGTGTTGGAGCTTTACAGGGAAATGTCTCCAGGAAAAATGGTCAGGGAGCGGGGGAAGGGAAGGTGACCAAGCAGGGCTGTGTTATCACTGAAGTCCCCAGAGGCTCAGTCCCTCAGGGAGGAGCTGCAGACGGTGTAGCGGTGTAGCGAGTACCCCAGAACTGCCCCCACTGGGAGCAGGGAGCTGCACCCCCGGTCACCGGTGAGGGGTCACGCCCGGGAGGGTGTAAGTTCTCAGGCACTCGGGTTCTCTCCCAGGGAAAGCAGGTCCTGGCTGTCGGGAGTGGACGCACACGGAGAGCTGGGGTGCACAGACATGGAGAATAAATCTCGATGTGCGTGGGACACCCACGGCGTCTGCTACAGACAGTCAGAGAAAGAACTACATTGAATAAATAATAATACGCAGACATAGCTGTCTGTCATTGGACAAAGGGCCGGGTACTGCGCCCACCCCTTAATGTATACAACCTCACCTCATCTCCACAGTAACCCCATGAGGTGGGTGTCATTGTTGTTCCCACTTAAGGGGAAGTGAGTTCCCAGGATTCAAACTGAGCTCTTCATGGCACCAAATTGGAGCCATGACTACTGGGCTACTGGGAAGATGAGGAGAGATATGGATGAATCAGAGGAGGTGGGAGGGATGTCTTAGATGAGGCCAAAGGTGCCGGGCCTCTCTCCCACGGTCCCCTTTGTCCTTTCCTTGCGGCCTTCTATCTCACCCAATTACAGCTGCCTTGAACTTGACTCAGCCAGCCTGGCCCATGACTCAGCCCAGATCAGCCCTTCTACGTATAGGGGCTGGAAGGGGTGCCTGAGTGGTTAGGACTCTCCATACGACCACCCTGGATGCCCTGTTACACCCAGGGGATGCTGGATGAGCATTTGGGGTTGCAGGAAATAGGGTGACTTGTAGGATATGTTGGAACTCTGACATGGAGGGTCCCAAGGCAGGAATCCCAGCCACTGATGCCTCCTGGGGCCAGGCCGGGTGTATACAAATGTGGCCATGGGCTGAGGGTGGGGGGCCAGCTTGAACTGGAGAACCCGTTGCCCTGTCTACTGGGGGCACCCATTGCTGCCCCTCAGCTCTGGCCAATTGTTTCAGTGGGAATGTGGAGGTTCCAGTGTGGCCAGGTTGTCTTTGACAAGAAGCTGGAAATTGGGATTGTTTTTTAAAATGTAAAATCTCCTGAAGTTTAAATCTTGGCAACCAACCTCAAAAAGCCAACCCAACACTGCAGTCTAACGGGCACGTGCGCACCTGGGAGCTGCTCAGGCGTGACCACTGGCTTATAAGGCGAGGACAGAACGGCCAGGGAAGTGTCACCAGACACCGACTGTAACCCCCTTCTCGTGTCCTGCCTAAACTCTAACATTTGTGTTTGACCTGATTGTCCCGTCTCCTTCCAAGGGGCAGGTGTTCCTTCATCCACCACCTTGGGGCCTCGAGCTTACGCGGTTTTAGCTCTGTTCCAGGAAGAAGCTCTGAGCGACATCCGCCCTGGACCCAGTGTCTCTGAAACGGACCAGACCGGCCCAGACCGCAACCAGAAGACTGACGCGGGCACAGATAGAGACTTGTCCTAAAGTAGCCTGCCCTCATTGACATTGTAAATGCCCCTCTTCTGGGAGGGGTGAAGCAGCCGTTTTTAGATCATGCGATGTATGCAGAAGCCTGATTTCAAACCACGCATGTGCAAGCTTATGCCTGCCTCTGCACGCGATGATGAGACTTCCCCTTTGAATATTCATTCTCCGCCCCAAATAATAAAGACTCCCACCTCCCCGTGCCCGGGGTCTGAGCTTTGTGAAATTATTCCCTGTGGTCTCCGTTTTCCTTTGCTGCATGCCGCAAATAAAAATTCTACGTTGTGAAACAACTACTTCTGGTGCAGCTGGATTTAGCTCCCAAGAAGGGACCGACGTTTGGTCCGGACACGGAAGTGGTAAGACCATCACGGTATGACACACTTTCTAGGATCCTAACTTTTTACAAACAATGTCTCTTTTCCTCTTCTCTTCTCCTGTCCTCTGACTACACCTGATGTCCACATGATGAACTTGTCAGCTTGCCCCAAATATACCACCTCCGTGCCTTTGCACATGCTGTTCCCCCTGTCTGGAAGGCCCTCCCTCACCTCTTCCGCTCGGGCTCAGCTCCTACTCATTCTAAGCGAGGAAACTCCACGGCTGATTTCTCTAGACCCACACAAGGCAGCGTCAGGCCAGCCCCCATGCCCTCTCACACAGAACAGAACTAGCTTTATTGGAATCTGCTGCTTTCTTGATTTCTACGCCTCTGTTTTCCCCAGGCTTAACTCCAGGAGGGCAGGAAGTGGATATTTCTTAGGCCATACAGAGCCTGCCAGTACAGTAGGTGTACACCCAAAGTGTGTGGAACGGACGAGTGAGTGAATGAGACCGCATGCCCCCCCGGGTGTGGCTGGACGGCCTAGGGGCTAACCACATGTTAGCAAGGCCAAGGTAAGGGTTCATTCCTACGTTACCTGGTTGGGGACCCTCGCTGCGGCAGCTAAAACCCCAGGCAAGCCCCCTGTTAGCGGCTGGCACTAAAAATCGAGCCAGCCGGCCCAAATCCCTCCCTTGGGAACTGGAGCCCCAAGACACTCAGAACCAGTCCTGAGTGAGAGACACGTAGGAGATGGGACGAGGAGGCCGTCAGAGGCGCCTGAGACGTGGAGATGCTGAGAAGACAGGCAGATGTTGCACAAATGTTAGTCACTATTTCAACCCTTGGTGCATCCCACACGTCACCCGCAGTTGGGAGCCTCTGCTTTGTGTAACTCTGAAGTGTGCAAGCACCGGGCAGGTAGGGGGTGTGCTCAGGGCAGCTCTCTGCACACAGTAGGCACTCTCTGCCCAATTCTTGCTCAACAAAGCCGCTGGTGGGGATTTGATGGCTGACAGCATCTAAGAGCATCTCACCCAGGGCCTGGCACACAGCAGGCGCTCAATAAATGTACATTGCATGAATGGAGGGAATGGATGAATGAAGGACTGTTGCTGCCTCCCCGGGTGAAACAAGCCATCTCATGCTTCCGAAGCCACATCTTTTGTCTGCTTAGAAAATGGCTCAGAACTTCATTCAGGTGCCACCTCTTCCAAGAAGACTTCCTTGATCTCCCCTACTCCTCCAGACTGAATTAATTATTCCTTTCTCTATAAGACCTTGTACTTGGGCATATTTCTAATCACCCATTCATCACTCATATTTTTATGCCAATCTTTGCTCCCCACTATGCTGGGGGCTCCTTGAACACCGGCACCTTGATTTAATTATTTCCATATCTCCTAGTGCCTAGTACTGTGTTAGGCACATTGTAGGTGCTAAACCAGTGGACATACGTGAGAGGTCATCCTGGCAGCTTCCTCTCCTACTTCTCTGTGCCTCAGTTTCCTCATCTGCAAGTGGGGGATATTGAGAAAGACTTCTTGGAACTGTTGTGGGCACTTATGGTGGGTGGTCTCTACGATCACCCCAGTGGTTCCCACCACCTGGTATTCACACCCTCATGTAACCACTCTCCTTGAGTGTTGGCAAGATCTGCGAGTTGCTTTCAGCCAATAGAGCACAGCAAAGGTGACGGGACGCCACCTCTGTGATTTGCTTACAAAAAAGATTGTGACTTCCATCTTGCTAGCTGACTCTCTCTATTGCCTTCATAGCTTATATGCTTTGATGAAGCAAACAGCTGTTCCGGAAAAGCCCACATGGCAAGGAATTGAGGCCTCAGTCCACCAACCCTCAAGGAACTCACTTGCGCCAACAAACACAGGAGCCTGGAAACAGACCCTTCCCCAGTCAAGCCTTCAGATGAGACCCCAGCCCCAGCCGACATGCCGATTGCAGCCTCGTGACAGACACTGAAGCAGAGGAACCAGCTGAAATGTGCTTGGATTCCTGACCCACAGAAGCTGAGCAATCATAGTTGTGTGTGGTTTTAAGCCACTAAGTTTTTGGTGATTTGTCTATGCAGCAAAAGATAACTTATATAATAGATTTATATGTATATATATATAAATCTCTTGTACATACAGTCCTGATGCCCTCCATTAATAGAAGCCATTGTTTCTAACATTATTACTTTGAGTGGGAAGGAGAAAGCCACAGGTTGCCCTTCTCAACCCCTGTGTACTTTTTCTCTCCTGATGACAAGGCCTCCTGATCATTTTGCTTTTCTGCATTTTCCAATTTGTCTACAAGGAACATAGGTGCATGCAACTTTTCAAAACTACATTGACGATATCGGAAGTAAAGAAAGTCTGGCTGAACTGACTTTGGGAGCTAAAGTCCCAATGCCCGAGTATCTGAGGGGCCTTCCGTCTCTGCTTCTGCCTACCCACTTCTCCATCATCAGTCCTCCTACCTAGGGCTCCTGCCTCCTCCGGCCATTTCCTGCTGTTGCTTCCTCCTGGATCCCTATTCTTGCCCTTCCTCTTCCGGTTCATGCTGACTCATCCTTGAGGTTCCAGGTTAGAGCTGCCTCCTCCAGGAAGTACCCCCGGCTTCCCCAGGTTGACAAGATGCTTCTTCCATGCTCCCACAGCGCCCTGCCTCATCCCAGCACATCTCCCAGTTCCCCCCACCAGAAACCCCACGTGTCTCCCCAATGATCTGCCCACAGGCCTTGCTCTGCAGGGAGCGGGAGCCCCAAACCCAGAGGCCTGACTTTACCTCTGAATTTGGTCATTCATACGGTCAGCCAGATACAGAGATAACGTCCCAAGCAGATGACAATCAGCAAACAACTTTTAGCATCTGCCCTGGTGCCAGGCTGTGCTGCCTGTGGTGCGCTGTGAATTAATATTTAAAACGAATCCTTTCATTTTCTTATGACCCATCTACTTATATTGCCCTATTGTGGGTAAGTATTAAATGGAGCTTCACTAGTTCATTGCAAGCATTAAAAATATACGAGTGCGTGTTTTAAACTCTGTTTTGCAATGTCTTCATTTTTTTCCAATACCGGGAGCCTCAGGAAATGAGGGTGGTCTGAATCTCTCTTAAATGCTCAGACGCCCTGTTCCTGGCTCCCGCTGTGGCTGCCGCCAGGAACGCCTTACTCATTCCTCTCTGCCCGTTCACACCGGCCCTGACCCCTCCAGTGCCCACCGTAGGCGATTTCTGTAACCAAATCCAGACCCTGCTCAGGACCGTCGGGGGAAGGTGGGTGGTACCAGGGCGGGGCCTCAGCCCAGAGCCGCCCGGAGTCTTGGCAGATGGCCCCTCCCTACCAAGCCTGTACCTGCTGTGGCTGCGGAGGAGGCTGCTGAGACCCTTGGAGGCTCCTCCTCCTCCTGCTTGTGTGCCTGGCAGATCCTGAGGGCACCTCTCTCCTTGTTCTCCCAGAGACCTGGCCTCCTTGGGCTCCTGGCAGCTTGGCACTGAGCAGGTCTGACCCCTGGCCTCAAGGAGCCCTCCCCACAGGGCTCCAGCCGTGAGAATCAGCCCAGGTGTGTCCCTGAGGCCCTGTCACCCTGGCCCAGCGGTCCCATGATCCTAGGGCTGCACATGAGGCTTCGGGGCTGCAGCTGAGGGTGAGGGGGGGCAGGGGGAGCTGAGTCACGGCTCCCTCAGCCAGGGCAGCACCCCCTGGCTTGTCCGCCATCAGAACAGGGAGCTTGTTAAACACGTCCCACGTGGTTAACTCTAAGGGGGTTCGTATTTTTAACAGGGGCACCGGTGATTCGCACGATGGGCAAGTTGGGGCGAGAGTGAAGGAGAGTTCTGGAAAGGGGCCGCTAGGGGAGTGGGACCCTGGGGTCCAGCCAGGCTGTTAGCAGGATGGACTGAGAAATGGGAGGAGAGGCGGGAACCCCAGCAGATGGATGGCCAGCCAGACAGCCAGGCAGGCAGCAGCCTGGTTGTCTCCTCAAGTCTTCGCCCAATCTGTGATGATAGACTTGTCTGTCTGTTTACTTGTGATTGCTGTCTCCCCCTCCTCCATCCCGGAATGTCAGCCCCAGGAGGCCAGGGACTGCGTCTGCCCTGTTCATAGTGATTTCCCTGGCCTAGCACAGAACCTGGTATGTAGTAGGTGTTCAATAAACATTTGTGGCCTAAATGAATGAATGAAATGGGTGCACGAGAGGAGGGACAGGCAGACAGGGAGATAGAAAGGCAGTGGATGGATGGACAGACAGACAGAGGGTTGGAGAGGCTAATGGACAGGTGGATGGACGGGCAACAGGGTCTGCGCTGCAGGCAGGCTCCTGATCAGTCCCCTGTCCTCTCTCTCCTCCCTGGGACACCCCCAGAGCCTTAAAGCTGCTCCCCCGCACCCCCACCAACCTGGCCCGAGGCCCTCCCACCTCCTCAGCAGCCTGACTTCTCCCCATGTCCACCCCTAGACAAAGAAAATCTACTCAGAGAGGAAAGCCGCCTCCTGGTCATGCGAGAGAGTTCCACAGGCCGGGCTGAGGGCTGGGCTGTCAGCAGGGTAGGCCCTAGAGGGACCACCTCCCCCGCTTCCAGCCTCAAAATGAGGGGGGGGGGGGGCGGTGCTGGGTCAGGATTTTTTAAAAAGTACAAAGAATAAAATAACACCCTGCATACTCCCACCACCCAGCACTGACCTTGGTTAGCATTTTGGCGTTCCAGCCTTTTTTCTAGACATACGCTTTTTTAAAAAAATAGATTTTATACCTGAGAGCAGTTTTAGGTTCACAGCAAAATTGAACGGAAAGTACAGGTTCCCACATGTCTCCTGCGCCCCCCAGCACGCACAGCCTCTCCTGCCATCAGTGTCCCGCCCCAGAGGGTCCATTTGTTCAATGGACAAACCTATGCTGACACGTCAGTGTGGTTTGATGAGTGGTGCTAGGTTTGCACCCAGGATCCAAACCTGCGAACCCCGGGCCACCAAAGTGGAGCACACGAACTTAACCACTACACCAGCAGGCCAGCCCCTAGGTAGATACTTTTAAAAATTATGTTATTAATATATGAGTAGGTTGTCCTTCTAAAAACATGGCTGACATTTATTGAGTGCCTACTATGTACCAGGAGGTGTTTCTACGTATTTTATACAAGTTAGCTCACGTCCTGCTCTCAGTCCTCTGACACGGCGTTATTAGCTCCATATCACAGACCGGGAAAGGGAGACTGGGAGAAAGAAAGTCACTTGCTCAGTAACACAAACTTGGAGCCGGGATTTGAGCCCAGGAGTCTCACTTCAGAGCCCATACTCTTAGCCACTGTGCTGGAACAAATTAGAATGTTATAGGTGAACCTAAAGTCCCTTTGATGCCTAGCCCCGACCCTGGTCCCTACCAGGCTTTCCTAGCAATGTGGTACCAGGGGTGGGGCCGAGGGGCTGGCCCATCCTGAAGGCAGGCAATAATGAGCTGAGCTGTCTGTAGAAAAGTTGCCAATGATAATAAAACCAACTAAAGCCCGTCTGCTTTTTGTTATCACCTTGCAGTACCTGTTCTAACCAAATTCAGTGATCAAATACTTCTCCCTGAGAAAGTATTTTGTTTGTCTAAATTCTAAACCATGGCTGCCTTACTAAGTTTTAATAATAAGCTCCAAATTAGCCCATTTTTATTCCCTCTTCTTTAATGAACATAGTGTTCTGCTGGAAGCTAATTCAGAGAATGCCCATTTGCACACCGGGCCCTGACACAGGCAGACTCGGCTATACGCGATTGTTTTGAAAGTTCAAAAGTTCATCACAGTTGAGAATTATTCAGTCGTTTTGGGATCAGTTTTGCCTCTAACCTCTGGGATAATACAGATTGCTAAGTTTAAACGGTAGATTCAAAATAAACAGTCACGATAAATACAAAGAAGTGGTACTTGAGTGACTTCCCTTTTTATTCGCTACCACTTGGAGTGGTACTTAAAATTAACCGGTGTTTAAAATTTAAGAGTAAAACAGTGCAAATTGCTAGATATAATATTTTTTTGTTTTTTGTTCAGTGCAAGTTTTTAGTTCCTTCACGATCTATTTTGCTGAATTTGAATATATCTTTAAGATTGAAATTTATTCTTTAAAAACTTTGGTTTTAAAACCGAGAACAAACCATGAAAATGATACTTATTGTTACAGAATTATTCCTAAAAATCAAATGATCCGTTTTAGGAATCAAATACGCTCTGATCTTAGTCCTCCCCGAAGGTGTTCAATGCTGTGGGTCTTGTGTGTATCTTTTCAACCTTGCTTTATACTGATACATATAAACATATGTATTGATAGAGTGTATATAGCGTTATTTTGTATATGTACAAATGTTTAAATATACATGAATATTATCAACTTTTGCACTTTGTTCTAGAACTTTCTTTTCTCTCTCCAGAGGATGTGTTTGAGACCTCATCATGTGAGTTCTTATAGACTAGCTCTCTCTTTTAAATCGACGTGTCCCTGGCTGGAGTTTCTGTGGACGTGGCAGGGTCACCGGCGGGCAGCATGTTCAGTTTAACAGACCCCGTCAGGGGCCCTCCTGAAGGCTGGCCCGGCATGCAGCTTCTGACAATCTGGGGTTATTTTCACCCTTGTCCTTTCCCCAGACGGCCCAGGGCCAGGCGAGGCCCGGATGCCTTCTCATCTCAGGTGGCACCTCCTGCGTGGATCCCGTGACCCTGTGGCTGTCACAAACCTGCACCACGAGCCTTGTGATCTGGGCTATTTAGGTAACCTCGCCGACCCCAACACACACACACACACACGCGCGCGTGCATACACACCGGCCCGTGGTCTCCCCATGCCAACCAGAGATTTCCAGGCCCGATCGTGTTCCTCTGCTTGGTGCTCCCGGCCAGCAGGCGGGCTGGGGATCCCAGGGGCTGTTCTATCCCCTGTTTCTGTCCAGAGCTTTTCCTCTTCCCCCGAACATTCCTCTGGCCGTCGCCCATGCCTGCGAGGTGCACCAGGCCTGGGGGCCTCCTCTCTTCCTTTTACATACATGTCTGCCTCCCCACCTAGCCTGTAATATCCTCAGAGTAGGGAGAGCATCTTGCTGGCCAGGTTCCCAGAGCTCGGCACAAAGTAGCTGCTGGGTCACTGGAGAATTGAACAACCGATAAATGAAATAACTGCAGCTACTCCACGCTGGGTTCTTCTCTGTTGGCACCACTCTTTATGTGCGTTTTCCCATTCAATCCACATGGCTATGTGAGTAGAAGCTGTTATTTTCCTTGCGAGGTAGGTGATTAGCCTTGTTTTATGGTCAGGAGGACCAAGGTTCAGAGAGCTTAAGCATGTTTCCCAAGGCCACACAGCAAGTTCCTCCATGGCCAGAATTTGAACTGGGGTGTGTGCCTGACTCCGCTGGTGACACATTCTACCTCTGCCATCTGACTAGGTCAAGTCTGAGAGTTCAGAGGTGAGACAGGTGGCATTTTCACCCTCAACTCCTTAGCCATTATTGGAAAGCCTTGAGTCACCCCGTCTCTCATCGGCATTACTGTGGATGCCTCCTAACTGGTCCCTTGGCTGCTCTTCACTCCCATCCAGCCAGTGGGATCTTTCTAAAGTATAAATCTGAATTGATCTCCCCTCTTCCCTTGCTCAAATCCTTTCCTTGGCGCCCCATTGCCCCAACTCCTTAAGATGTCTGACAGGCCCCACCTTGACCCAGATCTGCCTTTGTCTCCAGGCTCATCTCTCCTCACCCACCCCCTCCAGCCTCCATGTCCCAGCCATGCCTGGCTGCCTGCAGTTCTGCTGCTGCATCTCCCTCTTCCTCGCCCCAGGGACTTTGCACATCCTGCTGTTGCCACCTGTACCTCAGATAGAGCACCAATCACACTAGATTGTAATATCCCACTGTAGTTTGGAGCTGTCTGAAAGCTGGACTGAGATATTTATCATCATGACTCCTGGCACATAGTAGGTGTTCGATTAACATTTGGTGAATGACTGGGTAAAAAATTAAACTCCTGAGCATGGGGCCAGGTGGGTAGAGACT